ATCTAATTCAAGAAATATTCAATCTTAACCTATATAATTTAAGAAACTATTTAACATTCTTAACTCAAACAACAACCATCATAGCAATAGTAAGAAACCTTGGAATCATTCTCAGTAACAGTAAGACCTGTGCGAGCGACCTTCTGCCCGTGGTTTTGAAGTTCGCTCGTCTCCCTACATGAAAATTCTACTTATTTTTCTACTTGAATCCTTCCAGTCTACCCTCACCAGTAATCTACCATCAGCTTTATCGTACCTTTAATATAACTTAAAGATCTACGCATTTACCGCTGTTTTATGCCATATACACAGACACATACACATACACAGACACACACACACACACACGCACACACATGTACACATATACACAAAACGAACACAAACACAAACTACACAAACACACAAACATACAGAAACACACAACACATTTACCTACCCTGTTCACACACATCCCCATACACATGAACAATTTTCCATAAATCAAGGAACCCTATTATCAACCCCATTCCTATTTCACACAGGCACCAACCCCCCCCCCCTTCCCCTCACCACCATCCAATCCAACAACTTTACTTTAGTCCCCCCTAAAAAAAAAAAAAAAAAAAAAAAAAAAAAAACATGTTCTATGACTTTCTCCCGCAAAGAAAACGGTGTCATAGCAGCCTCCTCCGGTCCGGTGGTTGAAAGTGTATGTGCGGCGCCCGTAGATTCCGTGCACTACGAACCCTCAGCTTATCCTTGAAAGTGCAAGAGCAAGACCTGTGTATTGACCTAATTGGGGTCGTGTACCCTTTTGCGTCAGAACTCAGAGGACTCTAGAATTCTTACATAACAATGATAACTAATAGCAATGATAATAATAATTAACAATGAAAATGATAATAATAATAATAATAATAATAATTACAATAATAACAATAGCAAAGACAATAACAATAGCAATAATAATAATCAAAATGACAGCAAAACAGTAGTAGAAATAGAAGTAGTAGTAGTAAGTTAGTAGTAGTAGTAGTAGTAGTTAGTAGTAGTAGTAGTTCTAGTAGTAGTAGTAGTAATAGTTGTTGTAGTAGTAGTAGTAGTTCTAGTAATAGCTCTAGTTGTAGTAGTAGTAGTAGTAGTAGTAGTAGTTGTTGTGTTGTTTTTGTTGTATAGTTGTTGTAGTAGCAGTTGTAGTAGTGGTTGTAGTGGTGGCTGTGGTAGTAGCAGCAGTAGTTATTGTAGTAATAGTTACAGGAGTAGTAGAAGTAGTAGAAATAGTAGTAGTAGGTGGTAATGGTAGTAGCAGATTTAGTAGTAGTAGTAGTAGTAGTAGTAATAGTCGTAGTCGTAGTAGTAGTAGCAATAGAAGTAGCAGTTTTAGTAGTAGTATCAGTAGTAGAAATAGTAGTAGTAGTAGCAGAAGCAGTAGTAGTAGTTTTAGTTCAGTTGTAATAGGAGCAGTGGTAGATGTAGCAGTAGTAGCAGCATCAATAGTAGTAGTAATACCATTAGAAAAACAAAAACATAACAATATCACAACTAGCAGGTTACTAATAACAACCACAGTCTACTGCAGTGAGTGTAGCAGAGACAAATGAACCAACGAGAATATTCGAGCAATATCGACGTACGAGCGAAGTGGAATAATAATCAATTAAAAGTAATTTCAAAGACCCTTCTTGTACCTTCAACTTGTGTATCTTCTTTGGGTGCACGTTTCGACCCCACCCCCTTCTCTCTCTCTCTCTTTCTCTTTCTTTCTTTCTCTCTCTCTCTTTCTCTGTCTCTGTCTCTGTCTCTCTCTCTCTCTCTCTCTCTCTCTCTCACCCCTCTCTCTCTCTCTCACCCCTCTCTCTTCTCTCTCTCTCTCTCTCTCTCTCATCCCCCTCTCTCTCTCTCAGTGATACGAATACTTTAAGTAATGTGTCTGAAGAATAGCCATATGTGTGCTATTTCAGGTAGTGACACATGGGGACAAATACCGTTGGGTGTCTCAAGTGCTGAAGATGGCTCCTTATAACAAGACTAAAGGAGCCCTAGAATTAAGACTAGGTCGAAATAATGTCTACGTACGCTGTAAGAATGAAGAAATTCTTAACCCGTATAACCACGACCGGAGCGGCAGGAGAAATCCTCGAAATGAGCAGAGCTTATGGCAGAGGACACTGCACTAACCTCGTTGTGTTCGATGTCCCGAGGGAAATTGACACCAGTGAGATCACGGAATACAACGAAAAGATTATACACGCTAAACGCATTCAATTTAATGGTAGGATGACACAGCGGCTCATTATCACTTATGAAGGGGAGAAAATCCCCCAAACCATCAAAATTGTGGAGGGTATGGCACCTTTCAGGTGCGCTGTCTTCAAATCCCTCACCCCATTTTGCGCCAACTGTTCCAGATGGGGGCACGGGGCACGCGCCTGTCCCCGCGAGGAGCCGCGCTGTCGGTACTGCGCGGCCGCTCACATGAGCAGGGAGTGCGCCGAAAAAATCGCACAGGGTAATCGACTCCCAAGGAAATGTGCCAATTGCAGACTTGAACATAATGCAAACTCTCCATTATGTGCATACTGTCCGAACGATAGAAAAAATAAATTACTAAAGAAGCAACAGGCTGTTCTGCCTTCTCGCAATCCCAACCCATTTCCTCGTCTTAACGATGAGGCAGAATTCCCCCAGCTTGGGAGGATAAATGTGGCGAGGTATGCTGAAAGTAAACAGTCGATCTCTCCAGCCGTACTATCGGTATCAGCTCCTGTTCCAGCGCCAGCCTCAAGGTCTGCTTCAGCCCTTTCAGTGACAGTTTCAGCTCCTGCTACTTCGGCATCGACTTCAGAACCTGCTTCAACACTGACATCGCTTTCGACATCTACTCCACATGTCTCAGCACACACAGTTTCGGCTTCTGCACCTGCTTTAGTGCCATCGCCGACTCCACAGGGAAGACAGACCCTACTGCAAATGCTGATGCAGAAAATAGAACAAATGATGCTCATGATGCAGCAACAATTTGCTCAACAACTACAGTTCCAGGAAAAAATGTTTTCAGTGCTCTTTGGACAACGGTTTACCCTTCTACAACCTGTAGAACTTGAAAATCAGCTGACAACTGATGGCCCACAGTGACTTTAAGTGTACCACAATGGAATATTGAGAATTAATGTAATATTGTTCATTTTTGTAAAATCATGTATATGTGTTTTTTTCAGTTATTAGATAGTTAACAAATAAGGTGAGCACTAAGGTGCAGCCCTTCAGGCATGTATACTTAATGTTTGACTTTGGCCCTTAAGTCAGTATAAGTTCAGCCAGATCGGGTAGATGCTCGGACATCTTTCCCTGGCTTTTTACAGGGCATGTAAACTGCTCTGTAAATAAATGTTTTCAAATCAAATCAAATCTCACCCCCTCTCTCTCTCTCTCTCTCTCATTCCCTCCACTCTCTCAAACTCACCCCCCCTCTCTCTCTCACCCCCCCCTCTCTCTCTCTAATCCCCCTCCTCTCTCTCTCTTTCTCATCCCTACCTTCTCTCTCTCTCACCGCCGCCATCCCTCCCCTAACTCTCTCTCTCACCCCCCCTCTCTATCTATCTCATTCGTCCTCGCTCTCTCTCTCGTCCCCCTCCCCCTCTCGCATTTCCCCCTCTCTCACTGCGGGCGGGCGTGTGAGTATGAGTATGTGTGTATCTGTATGAGATAGAGATAGAGATAGAGAGAGAGATAGATAGATAGATAGAGAGAGAGAGAGAGAGAGAGAGAGAGAGAGAGAGAGAGAGAGAGAGAGAGAGAGAGAGAGAAGTGTGTGTTGTGTGTGTGTGACCCAGCCCAAAAAACTCCCCCAAACCCCCAACCAGCGCCAAAAAAAACACCAACAACCACCAAATGTCTAGAGCAACGAGTCTTCCCCTAATTAACGCCCCCCCCCCCTTCGCCAGGTCACTCGCAGCACGTGACCTTATCGCAGCCGAGGAAGGTCACTCCAACCTTATCAGTCAGTGACCTTTACGATAGTCCTGAGGACGCCTGGTCGCCCTGAGGTCATTGCCACCTCACAATGCTCTCTCCTTCTAAGTGTGCTTCTGTATTTATAAGTAACATAAGTAGGAAATCCAAATATAAGAAATCATTATAAGTAGCAAGAGGGGAAAAGTGTTTCTGTGATTCGTATTGGATCGATTTCTTTTTTACGAAATAAAATGAGAATGAAAGTTCCCACAAACGTGAAATAAAAGTAAAATTATCATACAAGGTATGAAAATGTTTAAATGTCAAATATATATAATTTCTGTGTCTCTTCAGGAAAAAAAACTATCAATAGAAAAAAGAAGTCAACAATGATGAGAAACAATGACGTTGATAGTTTCCATAATACTAATGCAATAAATCAACAACAATAAGAATGTTTTGGTGATAATAATAATAATAATAATAATAGCAATAATAACAATAATAATTATATCAATGATAATGGTAAACAGATTATCAAATATTACTTAGGAATGTTTTTCTTTTGATTTAAGGCAGGGATATAAAATATTCCAATCTACAAATCCACTTTTATTTATAAATAAAAATGTACAAATAAACTCATATTAGCAACAGTATACATGAGCTAACAATTTGACAAATATTTAATCTGACAGAGAACACTTTAGCTGAGAAGTTCTTAGAGAGAGAGAAGTGGTGTGTGTGTGTGTGTGTGTGTGTGTGTGTGTGTGTGTGTGTGTGTGTGTGTGTGTGTGTGTGTGTGTGTGTGTGTGGTGTGTGTGTGTGTGTGTGTGTGTGTGTGTGTGTGTGTGTGTGTGTGTGTGTGTGTGTGTGTGTGTGTGTGAGTGAGAGAGAGAGAGAGAGAGAGAGAGAGAGAGAGAGAGAGAGAGAGAGAGAGAGAGAGAGAGAGAGAGAGAGAGAGAGAGAGAGAGAGAGAGAGAAGAGAGAGAGAGAGAGAGAGAGAGAGAGAGAGAGAGAGAGAGAGAGAGAGAGAGAGAGAGAGAGAGAGAGATAGAGAGATT